CTGCTGATGGACTTAATTGTTTGTCTTTTGCTGCTTGTCTGGAAAAGGAATATTCACGACCTCACAGTTAGATGGCACTCTCTTTTTTTGAGATTTTTGGGAATGGCTAATACTTCACAGGAACTCCCTGTGAAGGTCATGTTAGTCATACTTTCACAGGCCTTGTGTTAGCGTGCTTTCTACCCAGATGTAGTTTAGAAGTGGTTTAGGGCCTGGTGATGCTAGCTCCCAAGATGTGAGGGAGTAGCAGTAGGAGTGTTTAGACAGCTCTTTGTCTGAAAACAAAACTAATTTTGTTTTATTTTGAACTAATTGCTTAAGATCTTGTGGTGTACCCATGCTATGGATCCACACTAATTCTTAAGTGGTATGTGTGCATGTTCTAGCGCTCCAGAAATACTTTTTGGATAACGTTATATATGGTGTACTCTACTCTGACAGTACTAGTCCTGTGACCTTAAAACTAAATCTTCTCCTTGGCTTTTTCTTCACGGAGCAGCATGGATGATTTGTGGACTGTATCTTAAGTCAACTGGCTTACAACTGTGTTTAATGTTCCAGTGGATAAATTTATTATGCTCCAGAAAGGTTGTGAAGTACAAACTGCATTTTAAAAGGCTGTGAATTAAAGTCCAGGCTCTTTTTATTCAGCCAGGTAACTAGGCACAGTGACATTTGGGATTTAATTTTACAGATGCACATACACATCAGCTTTTGTTACCACTGAAGCTCAACTGCCCAATGATGAGTAACTGCAGTGCCGGCAGTGTTGTGAACTTGCCACTACCTTTGCCTTGGAAGTTTTCACACACTTCCTGCAGCATCTACTGAAAGGCAGCTGAAGAATCTGTTTGCTGCTTGGCACACCAGTACAAACCGTAGAGGCCTCAGACTGCCATACCGGGAGCTTCGGTTGGACAGACTTACTATTTATGATTTGTAATTTCTCAATCATTATTTGACACTAACTAAAACCTCTGTTGCAAAGTGGGTGTGGTGTAGTCACTGAAGTGGAGCCAGTGGGTTAGGTTGGCTTGCCAGGTTTTAATTCTCAGTTACAGTCCTCAATTTGGCAGCACCTGGATGGCATAAAGCTTTCCCTTTTAAAATGTCCTGTCTTCTGCCTTATGTTGGAAAATATTAATTACAGGTCTTTATTAAAATGAAACAATGGAAGATGGGAGCCAATGGTTAAAAAAACCTAACCAGTCATTGCATGCTAACTGTGGGCATACCAAGGAAAAACCAAATTCACTGTTTAAAAGAGAGTCCTCGGATTCCCCTGGCTGACCCGCTGCCACCGGCCATCTCGGTCAACAAGACTAAAAACCCCAAGTAATTTCATGGCCAAAGAAGACAGATGTCAGTATTTTTGCTGAAATAACCTTTCTGACAAGAATGGTTCAAAGCATTAAGATAATCAGATCTGGGAGCTGAAGACCTGTCAAGCTGTATTGCCTCTGAGATACGTTGTAGCTGCATTTCACACTTACTTAGATTCATGGGGCTATACAATTATGCTATTACTACCACTGGGCTTCAACAGAACTTTCAAATGGAAATAGACATGGCTACAAAGAAGGTAAGGATTGCTACCAAAAAAAAATTGGTTTGAACAAAAATATTAAAAGTCCAATGGTTAAGATTTTAAAAAGGTCTCTCAAGACCATAGCTTTCTATCATGCTTTCTGGATTTACTTCTACAGAGAATAATTTTCCATTAATATAAATGTGGGTTGGTATTTATCTCTAGGCTACATATTCCTAAAAGACCTAAAGTCTCTGAAAAGCCAGCTTTGGCACTGTTTAAAATGCTGAATGATGAATTTAGCTTCTCTGCACTCTGGCCCTGGCTGCCAGTTAGCACTACTAGAAATCTTACTCTATTGAAAGCTTTAATTTTGAAACTGGCTCTACTTTTATGAGTTTCAGTAAAGACCTGCTAAAATCTTTGTATGTGATATGATAGAGACTTACAGAATACAGGGAAGTGGTCCTGCCCCTGTACTCTGCACTGGCGAGGCTGCACCTCAAATGCTGTGTGCAGTTTTGGGCCCCTCACTGCAAGACAGGCACTGAGGTGCTGGAGCGTGTCCAGAGAAGGTCTTATGGGGAGCGGCTGAGGGAACTGGGGTTGTTTAGTCTGGAGAAGAGGAGGCTGAGGGGAGACCTTATCGCTCTCTGCAACTACCTGAAAGGAGGCTGCAGTGAGGTGGGGGTCAGTCTCTTCTCCCAAGTAACAAGTGACAGGACAAGAGGAAATGGCCTCAACTTGTGCCAGGGGAGGTTTGGATTGGACATTAGGAAAGATTTATTAACTGAAAGAGTGGTCAAACATTGGAACAGGCTGCCCAGGGAAGTGGTGGAGTCACCATCCCTGGAGATGTGGCACTTCAGGATGTGGTTTAGCGAGCATGGTGGTGTTAGGTTGATGGTTGTATGGGATGATCTTAGAGGTCCTTTCCAACCTAATGAGTCTATGAAAATGAATAGGAATTGGTTGTTTGCATGCCTTTCAGTACAAGAACTAGGGTGTATGAAATGAAACTAGTAGGGAGCAATGTGAAAGCAATTTATGTTTCTTCACTAATTATTAAGCTGTAGAGTTCCTTGCTGAAGGAAACTGCAAAGTTTACAAGAAGTGACTGGATGTAAAAGAAAAAATATATCCAAGGCTACCAAATACTAAAATGTAACCTATGATTCATGTACCTGCTCTACAAGCAGTAGAGGCTGCAACAGCATTTCAGTGGAGTAACAGAAGTACTGCCCCTGGAGTTGGCACTGCTCTGCTGGGCAGGCATCTGCTATTGACCATGAGTGGGAAGTTACTGGTATGAACAGACTTTGGTGATTTGGTATCTCAAAACAAACTTTTAAATTGCATTTAAGTTAGAAATGGTCTTTTATGGTATTTTTCTTGATTGTTCAAATAGTAGACTCTGGTAGGTAAAATGGGAAGGACCCATTAACAAGGAATCGGATGACAGATTAAGAAAAAATTGAATTTGATTTTATTCCACTAAGCTTCAGAAGAATCTTAAACAGAAGAATCTTAAAAAACAGAAGCCGAAGTAACTGAAGAAATCTTTAAGCTAGCTCTGCTCTAGACCAATGAGTGAGCATTCTCTTGGAATGAATGCATCAGGCAAAGGCTAGCTGTGGCTTCCAGCACCTGTCCAACAATTGCCAATGCTACAAATGCATGGATTTTCTCAGCACCCAGTGTAGCAGTACAGAGAGCCAGTCCATTGTGCATCTCCTCATGCTATTTCAGCTGTTAAATCTTTTTTCTGGTGACAAAGCCAGGAGCTTTGAATTTGTTGATGATGATGCTGATACAGGGAACTATCAGGAGTCACCAGTAAATCCCATCACAGGGAGATATGCTAAAGAATACTGGAGGATAAAACACAACTCCACATTAAAGCTCTAGGAATAAGATAATCTTTGTAAGTAGACCTTGACTACTTTGCTTTTCCCCAGAATGTATTGTGAATGATGGGCAAGGAATGGGGGTTTATTTTTACTAAATGACTCTGACATGTAGGAGGGAGAAAACACATTTTAACGTGTATTTTTTCCCTGTCCTTTCTTCCAAAGCTCTCAGGAGTCTAGTCATTGGTTCCTTGATATCACTGGTAATGTTCACTCTACTATGTTAGAAATTTATCATGCTTTGTTTTTTTTCTTCAAAATAAGCATAAGCATAGAGACTAAGTTCTATGTAAGTCCTTCCAAAGCAAATCTATTTTTCTTTCTCCTTTTGCAGAGTACTGATATGTATCATCTAGCTTCTCAAACCTGTGGTTTTACCACTGTACCTTGAGGTTTCAAAAGGAGATGCTTACTCTAATGCAGTTTATAGCTATAATCTCAATCTTTCTAGTTGAGCCTGTAAGATTATTGAAAAGTGTCAGTCTATGTCAATTAAATACACAAAACTTTCCCTTCTTCCTGCTTACATGTTCTTTACTACTGTTCTGTGGCTTACATGCATATAGTTGAAAACCATTTTGAAAGCCTTACACATTTATATTCTTGTGAGATGATTCATAGACTATTACTACATAAAATAATTCCAGTAAACATAAAAAAAGTTGGCATTTATTTCCCCAAGCCTTTTTAAAAGGAAAAAGCCTCCAATGTATCAAAACAACTGATACTGAAGTATATGTAGAAATTAATCTCTCATTTCTAACACGAAAACCCCCTCGTTTAAATAACTAAAACCACTACCTCTTTACAGTACAGTTGAACATCTAACATCATTACACTTGGCTCCCACTCCTGCAGTTTGCAGGACGCTTCAGTGTTGCAGAACTGTGCGTATTAATGGTGATGTTGAGATCTTGCTACACAAAAAACTCAATTGCTGACACTGCAATTCTATCTTAAAGTAAATCCCCTTGATTAACTTCTTCACCCTTCAGCACTGCTCTTTATCTCCCTAGCTGCCAGTACCAGGATAAATACGCTGAACTTCAGGACGTAGACAGTATGCAAGGAAGAGAGATACAGTACAACCTGCTGTTCATAAGCACTGTAAGTGACCCTCCAGTGCTCTGCATCGTGCAAACTGTCGTCCCATTACAGTGAGGCTTTGTACATAATAAAATAACTTCATGGAGAAAAGACACTTCCATAGACATTCTGCTAATTCTGCAGATTTGTTGGCAATACTTTGGTAGTCACTGTTTTCTGCTGACAGCCACAGGTGGCACTGCAGAGGCCCCGCTGGCCATGCCGCATGACCCTTAGCACAGATGTTACAGTACAGAGATACAGCAGGCAGAGTATTGTTTGCTGCAACTCCCTTCCTTCTGGCTGCAGCACTGCAGGGGGGCAGAAAAGGACAGCCAGTGTAGGATGCAGTCCATATCCAGTTGTATGTTCTCGATGGGAAAAAAAGCCCTTTCTGGTGGTTTCTTCCTCATTCTTTGGATCTTTCCTTGCAGTTCATGAGCAGGGGTCAATGAGCATGCAGCTGGTGACTGCTGTCAGTCAGATTCTGACTTCTCATTAGATTTAGATGATTTATGCTTTCTCTTTTTCTTCTTCTTCTTTTCTTTTTTTTTCTTTTCTTTCTTTCTCTTTTTTTTCTTGTGTTTATCTCTACATTCTGAGGAAGTCGAGCTGCTGCCTTCATCATCCTCAGCACTGTCATCACTGTTATCATCATCTTCTGAGGTAGAGTCCTCCAGGAGCTGCTTCAGTTGCTGTATCCTGAGTTTAAAAAATGTGGGTGAGAATCCTTTCTAGAGCTCCTCTACTGTAATAATTTATTCTAGCTTTCACCCATTTCCTATCTAGCTTCAGAAACGGAAGCTGCATGCAAAGGGCAGGGGAACACTTCCTCTTTTGCTGAATTACACTCCTGTTAATAGTTTTCACAGACTGATAAAAGCGAGCTCTCCTGAGACAAGCAGACTGTCTCCTCTTAGGGACTTTTCACCGCACGGGATATCAAAGCCAGACTGGCTTTTTGGCCAGTATTTATGTGTGCAAAATAATGAGGCACCAGCTATCACCAGACCACCATAAGAAGTTCTATGCTATCCGTACACAGATGCATACTGGGATTATGGTATTATGAAATTCATTGCCCTGCTGATACAGAGATGACGTCAGTGAAGCTGACAGAGTAGGCTGCTGTAGATGCAGAGGTACTTTTGACGGGCATTCTTTCTTTGAACCTTGATGGATTACTGCCAACTGGGGACAGACTACTTGCTTATTTTACTGTCGTCTTCAGTATCCTCTCTAAGGATTTACTTTTTTTTTTTTAAAAAAAAAAAAAAAAGAGCAGCAACACAGCCACAGCAGCAGTACCACTCTATGGGCTACCTATAGTTTGTTCAGTTACCTCACTCATGCAGTTCAAGCAAGAAAGCATTAAACTCTGCTGCTTTATATACTTAACCTCACATGAGGACCATCAGGTGCCTAGAACTAGCTTTCTAAATCCACCCCTTCATGTCTACTGAAGACACTTTGATCTGTCAAATTTTAGAAGACATCTAAATGAAGTCAGTGAAATAAATTAAACTGTTTTTTAGGCCTAAACCAAAACTAAACCCAAGTACCTGAATATTATGGCATAAATGAATGACTCATCTTTAAACTGTTTTGCAAAAAAATATAGACACCAATAGAATTTAAAAGGTAGGAAGTACTACCGAGTGACTATTATAAAGCAGAAATGCATTAGTCTCTGCCAACATAAAGAAACTGCCGTTAAAAAAGATCTTCTGAGTTGGTAAGCGTAGCTTATCTCAAAGTTTCACCTATACATTTAGTATCACATTATCAAAATGAAAACCAAACTGAAAATGCAGTTTACTATGGAGACACACTTACCTCATTTCTTTTTCATGACGTTTATTTTCCCTTATTATATCGTACATTGGATCTTCATGTGCCTTTTAAAATGGAAAAGAGAAAATCCAATGTTGGTAAATAAAAGTATTTAGCACTGACCGTTGCATTTCCTAAAACAATAAACCAAAGCAAGCCAATGCAAGAGGCTCTTACCAAATGATGAAATACACTTAGCAACCTCTTAATTCACAGGTACAATCTCAGACTTAATGTTGTTAATCTGAACTTTTTTTTTTTTTACTTTAGGAAAAGCTTACCTAGTTACATCACCAATGATGGGGCTCTCCTTAGGCAGACCACCTCTCTCCCTCTCCACTAAGAGAACCCCATACACCTACTATAGGAGTAGCTAGACATAGATGAAATACTGAAGTTGAAAAAAATGCCCTTATAGAATATTTTGAAGACTTGGATACAAGCACAGGAATACAGGAGCAAGGAATACAAGACAAACTGATAATGAGGCTGGAGTTGCCCTGGCATGCGATACACTACCATTATTGGTTCTTAAATTGGTTCTTTTAAAATTAAACAGGCATAGCAGCAAAAGGCAGTTGGGAAGGAAGACAGCAAATAAACTTTGCAGACATTTAAGTGAGTTTATGCCATGCAAGAATACAGCAACAAGATGGGGTGATCATTTCTGTTGGAAGATTAAGCAAACAAGTTCAACAGAGAGGAGGTATCAGATGCTGACCAGAGGTGGGTATTAAAATGCCAGTAGCAAAGGAAAGATGTTGGGAATGCACCATGAAGGGCCTTGCACATACAGCAAGAGTTTGATGCAACAGAGAAGAAGCCTGAGGAAAAGTGAGGAATAGAGGCAATCTGGTCATGGGAGAGGGCTAAAAAATACTCCTTGCAGTAGCATACAATCAGTCTAAGTCCAGAATGTGGACACAGGGAGTGCAGGTTACATTTTTCAAGGCCAGAAATGAGGACGTAAGACCCAAAAAGATAAGAGCTTGAAATATAGGTTAACAATGCAACAGAGCAACAGGAAAAGTTAAAGAGGTCACGCAGAAAGAATCTGCAGACCTGAGATACAGCCTCATGTAGCAAGAGATCAGGCTTGTGGACAATGACTGGGTTACAGACCTAGACAACAGGCTTCATGATGTGGTTGTTCACAGTGAGAGCGGAAGGCTTGAAGCAGCTGTAATGTGGGCAGCTCAAGCTTGACTAAACGCTTTTTGTTATGTTGACAGTTTAATCACAAAACCTGAATATAACAGTTGAAACAGGTTCTTGAAGATTTTCCATTTAAATGTAAAAATTACTAATTTTCCTCTTGAAGAGTAGATTTTTCTGCAAAGCAGTCAAACATCCAACCACATCTGTAGCTTTTTCTTTATTAGGAGATTTTCGGCATCTATATTATGCTAGAGACAGAGGAAAAGTCCTTAATAAAGCATCGTCTAACAGCCTTTTCTTCACTTGCAAGATTATGCACCATCAGTATTAAAAAAATACAAGCAATAATACAGTATTTGTACTCACTACTCTAAATTGTTCCAATTTCTGATTGCCTTTAATAAAGAATGGGCATTCTTTATCTCCTGTTCTGTGTCCATAACGTTTACACCTCCAACCTTTAAAAATAAAAAAGCAGTAGCAGTGAATTGCATCTTGGAGGCAGACCAGAAGAAGAAAAAAACAAAAATTATGCAAAATATTTCCAATTTGTTGGAACAACTAGAGAGATACAAGTATTATGTTGATAAGTGTCCATAAAATGCAAGGCTATTATAGCCTTCAAGGTACTGGTTGCTTTTATACCAATATGATGCCAATCTACCTGGACCTTGTCACCTGTCCACCAGACATTCTGCCCTCCCCCAGAGTAAATGGATAGCTATATGAAGGTCCACTGACATCCAGAACATTTTCAGCCTTACACTGCATGACTTTGACTTCTTTCCCCAAAGGCATCCAAAGCCCTTTTGTCGGGGCATGTGCCAGGAATTCTCGTGCACTTTCATTGCCGGGTACATCAGGTATGCAGTCTTCTGGTTTTGTTTCATTCTCCTACAGAAAAAAGGTAAGGACAATAAAAACTACATACTGTTTTTTAACTTCGTAAAAATTAATACTCCAAGCGTGCAGGCCTTCACTTAATATGGAACCTATTTCCCCTGTAACATTTCTTTTTCTCGTAACACATAAAGGATCCAAAATACCTGACCCTTTTAACAGTATTAAGTAATTTTCTTTTTCCCCTTACCCTTGAATTAATTATTGCCATATTAATTCCATTCCTTCCTACTTATTTTAGTAATTTATTTAAGTAAATAATATAAATGAAAACTTAACAGACAAGTACCAGATTATGGCTTAGGTATATAAATTTGGCAAAAGCAATAATCATTTTTAAAGAGAAGTACTTTTACACAAATATTTGAGCATAAGCAATGAGAAGAATCCTGAGAAGATGTCACTCAAACTGAAAATCTGCATCACCATCAATGACTCCCCTCTGATTCTGGGCATTTCACTCTGGATTCACCAAGTCAAAGAGGTCAGCTTGTAGCTGGGTAGCTCTGAGTTTTCCCCTGGAAGCACCTACTTCTCTCTGTAATTTATATAGGTTACAGACACTTAAATGGTTAAACGACAGGTTGTGTGAAAATGCCATGTAATGCTAAAAATGCACTGCAATATATTTACCAACCTTAATCAGCCCTGGGGGAGGTTTCTCATAGCTGAAAGGCAACAGAAATAGTTACTCTGCAGCTTAGCACAGGCAAATAAATCGAGAAAATACAGTATTTCAATGGTATAGAGTTAAAACCTTCACCTCGCATTTTCCTTTAATCTATCAGTAATCACCAAGAACTACAGCAGAACACAGATACCTGGATGCAAGCAGACTGAGATAGTGTTTGTCACCACCATACGTGTCTCTTGCAAACATCCTTCGGATTTGTATTCTTGTGGGAGAACAACTACTTTTACTGCACCGCTTTACAGGGACGTGTGGTACATCCAATTCAGCTTCAGTCACCATGAATGCACAATTCTCTTTTTCTGTAGCACCCCTCCCCAAGACCTCACTGATCCAAATTTCTTTACTCCACCACTGCTGAATCACAGACATTGTCAGCTGGACATGTCAAGTCAGGCAGTTCCTTACATGTACCTTTGGCAGCCAAACCTAGCCTATAATAATTTCATTTTCTGTGTATTAAACCGAAAGCAGAACCTTACTGACCAAAGTACCACCTTTCCTGCAGCATTTGTCTGGAGTCAGTAACAGGCATTATAATCCAAATAGCGAGCAGGTGCTACATGCTGCACAGCAACTGCGAAAGCACATGTGCTTAGGAGTTCAATGCCAAGACACTATGAAACGGTCTCTATGACTTTTGAGTGCTGTTAAGTGCATTTCACGACAAACAGATTATTACTCTCACTTGCAAAGGAAAAAAAATCATGTTCTTATGAATCTTCTGATCTTTTTATTTCATTCCATGAGATAGCATAAACCTTCACAGCACCGCAGGCTACTAATGGAATCACATCCCAAACCTTTTTTTTTTT